AAAAACAAAGAAACTTAGAAGCTCATTGTTTGAAAAGAACATCACCAACAACAAAATAGACAAATCCCTTACAAACCTGTTTGTGGATAAAAGATAAATAGCAAAGATATAGTAATTTAAGAAAAAGAAAGGGCAGGGCGCCTGGGTGGCTCAGCCGTTAAGCGTCTGCCTTCGGCTCAGGTCATGATTCCAGGGTCCTGGGATCGAGCCCCGCATCTGGCTCCCTGCTCGGCAGGAAGCCTGCTTCTCCCCCTTCCACTCCCCCTGCTTGTGTTCCTGCTCTCGCTATCTCTCTCTCTGTGTCAAATAAATAAATAAAATCTTAAAAAAAAAAAAAAGAAAAGGCATATAATTTAGATAATGTGGCAACAGAATTGAAAAAATAAAGTGATTACCTGTACAAATATAAAATTAAAGCTGACTTCAAAAAAAGTTGAAACTTGATTTGACTAATTTTCATAGAAGAGCTGGAAGAGATGATTAAAAATATTGCAAATATCACCCGGAGCAAATAGACTCATAAATGAGTCTTACCTTTTATTTATTTTTTAAAGATTTTATTTATTTATTTGAGAGAGAGAGAGCACGAGCAGGGGGATGAGGGGCAGAAGGAGAGGGAGAAGCAGGCTCCCTGCCGAGCAGGGAGCCCAACGTGGGGCTCGATCCCAGGACCCCGGGATCATGACCTGAGCCAAAGGCAGTTGTTCAACTGACTGAGCCACCCAGGCTCCCCTTTTCTAATTATTAAACAATAGATAATTCTAATGTTATTTGAGCTATAAAAGATGGAGCACTCATCAATTCATTTGATAAAACCAGTAAAATTTTAATACCAAAATCTAGTAATAGTCAAAAATAAAGCTATAGATCAATCTCACATAATAAAGGCACAGTGTTTACCTCTATAGTCCTCTGCTCTACCAGCTGAGCTGTCAAAGGGTGGTATTGTTCAAAGAAATATTCATTGTTCAAAGAAATATTAGCAATAATCAAATTATAGGAATATTAGATTGTACTCCAAGAATGTAAGCTTATTCAATATCAGGAAATCTATAAACATAATCCATTTGTCAATCAACATATTAAAAAGTAAAACTTAGATGATATGAGATGTTGAAATCATTTCTAATAAAACATTTTATGGCAGGGCGCCTGGGTGGCTCAGTCAGTTAAGTGGCTAACTCTTGATTTCTGCTCAGATCATGATCTCAGGGTCATGGGATCGAGCCCCATGAGCCCCACGCTGGGCTCCATGCTCAGCAGGGAGTCTGTTTCAGGATTCTCTCTCTCCCTCTGCCCCTCCTCTGGCTCATGCTCACTCACTCTATCTCTCTAAAATAAATAAATCTTAAAAAAAAATTTATGGCAAATTGGAATAGAAGTAACAAAGACTATTTATGAAAAACAAACAGCAAATATTATTCTGAATAACAAAATATTAAGACTACTTCAAGTAAAATCATGGAGTAGACAGGAATGCTTGCTTTCATCACTAATATTTAACATTTTCTTGTATTTTCTAGTAAATTCAGTAAGATAAAAAAGAATAGGTTATAAACATTGGAAAAGAGCTATAATCTGTCTCATTTTGCTCATTTTAGGTAAGATTCAATACTCATAGAGACTCTAGTGTAAAATTACTAGAATTAATAACAGAATTCTGTAAGGTAGCTAGATTCAACATGAATATAAACAAACAGATAGTTTTCTTTATTCTGGTACTAAACATCAAGAAATAGAAATAAGAGAAAACATTTTATTAACAATGGCAACACATTTATAAAATGCATAGAGATAAATATAATAAATTGCTTACATTATATTAATAAAAGTTTCATAAAATTCCAATTAAAATCGCAACAGGACTTGGCTCTTTTTAATTGGAAGAAAATTTAAAATTTTTATATGGAAGAATAAAATGCCTAAGAAATGCTAAGAAAGGTAGGGGTGCCTGGGTGGCTCAGTCAGTTAAGTATCTGCCTTCAGCTCAGGTCATGATCCCAGGGTCCTGGGATCAAGCCCCACACTGGGCTCCCTGCTGAGCAGGGAGTCTGCTTCTCCCCCTCCTTCGGCCTTCCCCCCTTCCGTGGCTTCTGCACACATGCTCTCTCTCTCTAATGAACAAATAAAAATCTTAAAAAAAAAAAAATGCTAAGAAAGGTTAAAAAAAAAAAAAAAGAGCAGCGAGGACTGATTTCACTTACCAGATATCAGAAGATATAATAGACCCATTGTAATCCAATCAGTATGGTATTGGCATAGCAAGACAAAAGTAAAGTAGTTCAATGAAGAAGGATAATGCATCCAGAAATACATAACAGTATGTATGAAAATTTTATATGATAAATGGGTTTATTCAAATCAGTAGTAAAAGATGTATTATTTGATAAATGGTGCCATTGCCATAGGCTATTGATCTAGATGGAAATAAAACTACACAGATCCCACTTCTATACCATATATAAAAATAATTATCAGATGAATTGATGACAAATGTAAAAAACAAAACAATAAAAATCTTGCAAGAAAATTTGGGAAATACACATACAACCTTGATACGCAGAAAACATTTTTTTTTAAAAGATTTTATTTATTTGACAGAGAGAGACATAGCAAGAGAAGGAACACAAGCAGGGGGAGTGGGAGAGGGAGAAGCAGGCTTCCCACGGAGCAGGGAGCCCGATGTGGGGCTCGATCCCAGGACCCTGGGAACATGACCTGAGCCAAAGGCAGACGCTTAACAACTAAGCCACCCAGGTGCTTCAGGCAGAAAACATTTTTAACCAACACTGGCCACTCTGAAGATATGAAAGAAAAGATAGATATATTTGACTATAAATTTTTTTTAAATTTTAGTAAAAGTTATGAACAAGTCAGTAAACAATAGGTCTTGGGGGGAAATTGCACTATACACTAGTATGTTAATGCAGTATAACAAATAGTTAACATTTGTGATAATAAAAGGGTTTTTGTAATTAAAAAAGTAAAAGAGCCCAAAGAAAAATGGGCAAAACATATGAATAGTCAAATCTCAAAATATAAATGCAATAGCCAACAGGCATTTGAAAAGATGTTCAACCTAAGAAATAAAAGGAATGCAATTAACGATGCAGCATCACTCTATACCTAACTAAACTGGCAAAAATTAGAAGAACAAGATAAAACTTATTGATATGAGAACAGGGAGAAGGGCACTCGCATATGTTGACAGTAGAAATGTTTGAAGAGTTCTGGCCTTTCTGGAAATTATTCCCTTCATTCCAGTAATATCCTTCTTGAGAATCTGTCCCATAGGAATAAAAGCACCAGTGTGTAATGAATGACCAAAAAGTGGAAATAATACAGAATCTTATGTAGTCATTAAAATGAATGAATTGGGGCACCTGGCTCAGTGGCTCAGTTGGTTAAGTGTCCAACTCTTGATTTAGGCTCAGGTCATGATCTCAGGGTGGGCGCTAGGCGTGGAGCCTGCTTGAGATCCTCTCTCTCTCCCTCTGCCCTCCCCTCCAGTCCCTCTCTAAAATAAAAAGAAAAATGAAATGAAGCTATGCTAACTGACTTAGAATTCTACTAGGTGCTAACGAGAGAGAAACGTGTGTGTAATATCCCATTTTTGTAAAACAAGAATGACCGAGAAAACCTTTATTTGCATATATATATGTGTGTGCATGAGTATATATTATCATACTAGGGTTATTTGTTTGGGAATAGGCAAGAAGGGGGCTAATGTAGAAGGAAGATGGGGAGCCAAACAGAACAAAAAAAAGACTGTAGCGTATGACATGATCACATTTAATATTTACATCGCCATTATATATGTACTGGGGTTAAATCTTTATAATACACATTTAAAGAAAACAAAACAAAATTAAAATAAATGATTTCAGCATTCAATTCAATAAGCAAAACTAGATCAGCAAAATGAACCAAAGGAAATCAGGAAGAAGGAATGAATTAATGAAAAGTAAAAGCAGAAATTGATAGAAACAAAAGATGGTTCCTGACAAGATCAACAAAATTGAGAAACTTCCTAGAAACATTATTTTTAAGAGAGTGAAAGAGGACTTACATAATATAAGAATGAAAAAGGAAATATAATTACAGACACAGAAGAGTTGAACATCACAAGACTAGTATGTGACTTGATAGCAATACATTCTCAAATTCAGAAAAATCTAGACTGCTTTCTAGAAAAATATATATAACCAAATTTGACTGAAGAGGCAGAAAAATCCAAATAAATCGATGATCATAGATAATATTGAAAAAATCATTTAATACTAGTCTCCCCAAATGTACTGGAACCCAAAAAAGATGAAAAGCTTCTGAACTCATGGCTAATACCATTCTTTTTTTTTTTTCCTTAAAGATTTTATTTATTTATTTGAAGAGAGAGACACAGCGAGAGAGGGAACACAAGCAGGGGGAGTGGCAGAGGGAGAAGCAGGCCTCCCGCCGACGGGAGCCCGATGTGGGGCTCGATGTGGGGCTCGATCCCAGGACCCTGGGATCATGACCTGAGCCGAAGGCAGATGCTTAATGACTGAGCCACCCAGGCGCCCCTGGCTAATACCATTCTTAAACCAAACCTGGGCAAAAGTATCAAAACCACACCACACCCACACAGGAGAACTACAGACTAAAGTTGTGTGTAATACTGATGGGATCTCATTGTTCTGTTTCTCTGTATGGAAGCTTGGAGGTAGGCTGAGGGAGGTTTTGTTTTCTCTCAGGCTCCTTGCCTCTTCGTTCTCCCTCCACTGTCTAGTTTCCAAAGTGGCAGCATGTGACAAAGAGAAGCAATGGACAAAACATAACAACATATCCACAAATAGTTCACATCTGTGAAAAGGACTGGCAATAAGCACCCATACCTTACCTCAATAGTGCTTTTTCAGTGCTTAACTACCATCACAACCATCCTAACCTGACATCTGCACCTTCCTCCAAACAGTCACATCCTCACAATCCTGACCGGACCCTATAGAACGTGCCTTTACCTTGTGTCCACGTGCAGCTCACTGAGCAGTTCACTTTGCATATAGTCCCAGGACAGTTCCACTGCACCCAGGTAGTATCTTCTGGTGGCACTAAAGCTGAATGGCAAAAGGCACAGAAAGAAGCAGGTAGAGAGTTCTGTTTGCATGGCTCGTATTGCTAGAAAATGTTCAACTGGAGAAACAAAAGATTAATTCTTCTCTAAAATATCTTCAGCTCCCAGGGGAAAAAAAAGGTAAATTTTCTATGATTTAGTAAAAAGTCCCAAAATTTTTGCTGTGAATTTTAGGGAACTTTACCTGCTGGATGTTACAGCAGCATCAGCAGTAAGCAGTAACAGATAAGATTGCTTCCTTTTTAGCAGTGGAAAGCAGCCACAGGAAAAGAGAGGTGGAGCTAGATCTTAACCCATTCACTTTTGAGAGTACTAAGGGCACAAGAATGCTGCTTTCATCAGAACCTTTAAAGAAAGGAAGAGAGAGAGGGAGAGGTCAAGGTGAAGAGGAGCAGCAAAAGCAGCTCTGGATGTTGTTGGAAATTCTGGAATCCACTTGCACAAACAAGAGTAACCAGTATTCTAATAGTCTCCTTGTTTCTACCCTTGCCCCTCACACAGCCACCGAGTGACTTTTTAAAACTATAAAGTAGATCGTGTCACTCCTTCACTCAGAACCCTCCACTGGCTTCTGACCTCAGAGTAAAATCCTAAGTCTTTACCATGGCCTAGAGCATCTCCCATGATCTGCATGTCCTTTTCCTTCAGACCTCTGTGGTCTCACGTCACTATGGCTACTGGCCTTCTTGCTCTTCCTTAAAAACCAAGCACACTCTTGCACTTAGACCTTAGCACTTGCTATCCCCTTTACTTGAAACATCTTTTCCCAGATCGCCATACATTTCCACTTTCACATCTCCTTCAAGTCTTGACTCAAATCCTGCCTTCGCAATGAGCTTAAATATGAACCACCACATTTACATTGTAAGCTCTCTACCCCCACTGGCAGTACTGATATCCCTCCTGGCTTCATTTTTCTATGTAGCACTCATAACCATTCAGCATTCATGTATTTATTTATATTGCATTGTTGTTATGTGATGCTTCTTAACGTTGTTTGCGTTTGTCCCAGGTATAGGATAGATCTCCTTACATCAATATGTAGCCCTGCTGAGCTCAAGCAGAGCCCCTACTCAGGTTAATGTTTATCAGGGGGAATGAGGGCCTCAAAGTATAGGAGATAATAAGAAACTTGACCAGGGTTGCTATTAAAAATGTTATCACTAAGAGTCCAGTTCTGCAGAAGTATGAATGTGCCTAGGAGCAACTGGTGAGGTGTTGTCCAGCTTGGAAACAAGCAGGAAGAAGTCTCTTTCATAAACATTTGCTGAGACCTTCTGTCACCCACCAGGATGCAGAAATAATAGCTAGCATGTACTATATGCCAGGAATTGTTGTAAGTTACTTTAATGCAGCTGCTATTCTTGTCTTCATTTTACAGGTGATGAAACTGAAGCACAGAGAGGTTAGGCAACTTGGCCAAGATCACAGTTTGCCAAGTGGTAGCATTCCAACCCATGTAATCCGACTCCATACTCATGCTCCAAACTCCTATGCTATACTTCCATGCACTGGATACACAGCATTGAAAAATACAAGCAACTGATGTAATTAATACTTATCACACATAAGTACCTCATACAGTATGTTATAAGGTGAAATAAGTGCTGTGCACAAAAGGAAAGTAAGCAGGGGAAGGCAGGATATACCAGGCTGCAATTTTAAAGGAGGATGGTCATGGAAAATCTCACCGAGTAGGTTACAGTTCAGCAAAAGGAGTTTGGCTTCTCTACTGAGGACAATAGGGAGACATGGTAGGTTTCTGAGAAGAGGAGGGCTGTGATCAGAATTACCTTTTAGACCAATCTTTCTGGCCGAGGTGGAGAGAACAGACTTTAGGCGAATAAGGGTAGGAGCAGATCGACCTGTTAACTTCGGGCAAGAAATGATTGTGAGTTGGGCTAAGATGATAGCACTGGAGGGTGAGAAATGGCTGGATTCACTGTGAAGCGGTATCTATGGGGCTTGCTGATGAACTGGATTTGTAGCATTGAGAGAGGCGTTCAAAATTAAGACCAAAGTTTTTGGAATGGTGAAGTTGCCATTAACTGGGATAGCGTGAGGGCGAGAGGAGTAGCTTAGGGGTGGGGTGGAGTGGGGAGACGTGCCCTGAAACATAGTTAAATGGCTCCAAAGGCATTCTTACTTATTGCAGTGGTTTTTTAAGTGTCTGACTTTCTCTACTGGAACAAAGTCGGGCACATAGCAAGCACTCATAAGTATTTGCTCAACGTTTACATGAACTAACACCGCAAACCAGCTTTATTTTTAAATAAAGTAATGGGTAAAAGAGTCCTTACTAGGGAACGACAAGGTGGCGGTCGCGTCCCAAGAAATCTTCTAGGTGAGAGCCTCCGTCAGAGCAGGCTCTCTGCGCACGCGCGTCTCGGCGTACCTGCTGGGCGGGGCCGCGGAGCCTTGTGACGCAGCTACGCGCGGGGGTGGGAAGTGACAGCTAGGCGCTCGGCCCGCCCTCTTCCGCTGCCGCCGTGGGAATGGAAACATCTGCCCCACGTGCCGGAAGCCAGCTTGCGGCGATGACGGCGCGCCACTCCGCGTCCTACCGCGCCCAAACCCTGCGGCTGTCATCGCGAGACCAACTCGCCGAAATGGCCGCATCCAGTAAAGGTAAGGACGGGCGCGCGCAGCGCCGGCGCCACGGAGAGCCGCCTTTCTCAGCTCCGGAAGGGGAAGGGCTCCGCGCCTGCGGGTCCCAGCAGAGTTCCCCCGGGAGTTCTGGCAGTGCACGGGCGGGGAGGGCGTGCCAGTCTCGCCCCTGACCCAGCCGCTTCCCAGGGTCCGGCCAAGGTCAGGCGCCGGGCTGGGACTGAACTGCCCCGGGGTGTTGTCTCTGGTTGGGCTCAGTCGGCCTTCCGGCGCCGCCCCGAACAACCTCAACCCGGAGACGTTCTGTCCTGGTTCTCGGAAGCGCTCTGGCACTTTCAGACTAAGGCGACTTCTTTTGACCCTTTGCACGTTCATCTCAAACACCTGGCAAGCCTCTTCTGTGTGCAAAGGAGCCTTCTCTTGTGCTGTTGATGGTTTTGAAAGAGTAGTACACATGGGATTGTACTTTGAAATAGTTTTTATATTCAGTCCGCGTAGTCAAAGAAGATGCCCTATAATAAAATACACAGAGGAGCATGACTTTAAATCATGCTTCTTTCCCTACTAATTACCTTGCTTCAGGTTATATTCAATTCAGGATTGGTTCACAAGATCCCATTGCTAAACACAGCCATCATCGAAAACCCAATTATATAAACCTAAAATTACTTAAATTATGTTAAAAACAAAGGCAGTGAAGGTATTCACAATTCATCACTTCTTAATTGTCTGCTATGGTATGCTCTTGACGTTATTTACATCTGTGCTGTCCGTGTGATGGAAATAACAGTGTGGTATGCTACTGTGCATCTTTTTCCAACCCTGCGTTCAGTGATGTCACAGTTCCATGCTGTCACACTCGCAGGGAGTGAATACATCGTGGAAATTGATGTACACTAGAGATCACCCAAAGCCGGTTGTTAATCATTGACCAGCACCCCACCGAGTTTAAGTGACTAAGGGGTTGGAATGCACAGTGTAATTATTTTCTTGCAGAGTACACTGCCTTCATTCACTTAAAATATATAGGTTGATTAAATATTTGCTTCTAGGAAATGGTTGTGAGAAATTTTGAGGTTGGCATCATGAATTTCAATCTTTATCATGGTGATGAACACATAACACTGTGATAATTGATTTCCTGGACCCATAAACAAGGCTAAATGACTTTTGTCTACATACTGGTTAACAGTGTTTGTTGAATAACTGAAGTTGGATGAACTAAACGTCTCTGATTTGATCCCCCTTTTGACTGGAGCCTCCAATTGAGCTGAGGGGCTTGGTAAAATTACATTAAAACAAAACTCAGGGGCGCCTGGATGGCGCTGTGGGTTAAGCGTCAAACTCCTGATTTCAGCTCAGGTCAGTGATCTCAGGGTCGTGAAATCGAGCCCTGAAATCCAGCCGGCAGAGCGTCCATCCCTGTGCTCAGCGGGGAGTCTGCCAGAGATTCTTTCCTGATCCCTCTTCCTCTGCCCCTCGCCCGCCCCTCTCTAAAATAAATAAATCTTAAAAAAAAAAACAACACAAACCTCAAAACTCATTCTTGGTGGGTTTTTTTTTTTTTTCCGTTCTTGTTTTCAGTGATACTCTTTAACCCAGGGAGAGAACTTCTTCAACACAGCAGTAATGTTTTAGTGTTCTTTTGTACTGGTGTCTAATGTTGTTACATTAGAAAAATAATTTTCATGTAGCTACTTGTGAACCCATAGGATACCTACTTCCTCAAACATCCATATTTTGGTTCTGCTAAATTGGGATCTATGATCCATGTTGAATTATATTTTGTGTATGATATAAGGTAGGGATTGCATTTTTTTTAGTACAGATACCTAGTAGTTCTAACACAATTTGTTGAAAACACTCTTTCCCTATTAAATTGCCTTGGTGCCATGTTATTGAAAATCGAATGGCTATGTGTACATCTACTTGTGGACTCTCTATTCTCTTCCATTCATATATGTGTGTCAGTTCTACACTGTCAAATATGGTTGCTTTATAAGTCGACGTTAGGTAGCTGTATTCCTCTGTAGCTTTGTAAGAAGTCTTGAAATTCCTTGAACTTTGTTCTTTGTTGTTGTTGTTAAAGATTTATTTATTTATTTGAGAGAGAGAAAGTGCGGTCCAGCGAGCAGGTGGGAAGGGGGGAAAGGAGTACATGGGGAGGGGCAGATGGGGAAAGAATCCCAAGCCGACTCCTTGATAGGCGTGGACTCCCACACGGGGCTCAATCTCACAACCCTGAGACCATGCATGACCTGTGTTGAAACCAAGAATCTGAGGCTTAACAGACTGGGCCACCCAGGCACCCCAAACTTTGTTCTTTTTCTCCAAAACTGTTTTGACCACTTGTGGCACTTTGTATTTTCCTAAATGATTGCAACAGTATCTTTCATTCCACCTGCTCTTTTCTCAGTGTGACTTTGACACTGCTCCCACTAGGTGATGGGATCTATGTATTCCCTCCTGAATCTTTGTGGGAGTTTGTGACTGATTCTACAGAATGTGGTGGAAGTAACACTGCATGACTTCTGGGGCTAGGTCTTAAATAGTTAGCACCTTCTGCTTAGTCCTTCAGCTGCCTCCCTGATCTCTCACTGCCTCCCTTGGGATGCACCCTTGCGCCTAGGCACCATGC